AGCTTTTTCATAGTGGTTAGCCCACATATTTCTTGAAAAATTATAAAAAGTGGAATTTTTGTTTTAATGCATAGCTGCATCATACACCTACATAGTATGAATATTAAATAGGTTTGAGACCTTAAATGTTTTCGTTTCTCCAGAAAATAGGATTTTTATTGGGGTTAATCCACATATTAAGTGGTATATCAATGTTAAATAAATTAATCATTGGGAAATTTGAAATGATTCGCATGTACCATAAACATAAGTTTAGCAAACATATATAAAAATTGGGAGTGGGTTTAAGTATTTTTTAAACAACAGGAAAGATGGTAAATAGTAGATATAGTATTTAACTAGAAATTCAGCTTTTTCATAGGGGTTAGCCCACATATTTCATGAAAATTATAAAAAATGGAATTTTTGTTTTAATGCATAGCTTCATCATACACCTACATAGTATGAATATTAAATAGGTTTGAGACCTTAAATGTTTTCGTTTCTCCAGAAAATAAGATTTTTATTGGGGTTAATCCACATATTAAGTGGTATTTGAATGTTAAATAAATTAATCATTGGAAAAATTAAAATGATTCACATGTACCATAAAGATAAGTTTAGAATATATGTAAACAAATTTGGAGTGCGTTTATGTAATTTTTAAACAACACGAAAGATGGTAAATAATAGATGTAGTATTTAACGGAAAATTCAGTTTTTTCATAGTGGTTAGCCCACATATTTCATGAAAAATTAAAAAAATAGAATTTTTGTTTTAATGCATAGCTGCATCATACACCTACATAGTATGAATATTAATTAGGTTTGAGACCTTAAATGTTTTCGTTTATCCAGAAAATATGATTTTTATTGGGGTTAATCCACATATTAAGTGGTATATCAATATTAAATAAATTAATCACTGGAAATTTTAAAATGATTCACATGTACCATAAAGATAAGGTTAGAAAATATATAAAAAAATTTGGAGTGCGTTTAGGTATTTTTTAAACAACACGAAAGATGGTAAATAGTAGATATAGTATTTAACGGAAAATTCAACTTTTTCATAGGGTTATCCCACATATTTCATGAAAAATTATAAAAAATGGAATTTTTGTTTTAATGCATAGCTGCATCATACACCGACATAGTATCAATATTAAATAGGTTTAAGACCTTAAATGTGTTCGTTTCTCCAGAAAATAGGATTTTTATTGGGGTTAATCCCCATATTAAGTGGTATATCAATGTTAAATAAATTAATCAATGGGAAATTTGAAATGATTCGCATGTACCATAAATATAATTTAGCAAACATATATAAAAATTGGGAGTGGGTTTAAGTATTTTTTAAACAACAGGAAAGATGGTAAATAGTGGATATAGTATTTAACAGAAAATTCAGCTTTTTCATAGGGGTTAGCCCACATATTTCATGAAAAATTATAAAAAATGGAATTTTTGTTTTAATGCATAGCTGCATCATACACCTACATAGTATGAATATTAAACAGGTTTGAGACCTTAAATGTTTTCGTTTCTCTAGAAAATAATATTTTGATTGGGGTTGATCCACATATTAAGTAGTATTTGAATGTTAAATAAATTAATCACTGGAAATTTTAAAATGATTCACATGTACCATAAAGATAAGTTTAGAAAATATATAAAAAAATTTGGAGTGCGTATAGGTATTTTTTAAACAACACGAAAAATGGTAAATAGTAGACGTAGCAT